ACAGGTACTCTCTATTTCACTCCCTATCCCTCTATCTATACAGGTATCCTCTATTTCACAAATCCCTATCCCTCTATCTATACGGGTATTCCTCTATTTCACTCCCCCCATCCCTCTGATATCTATACAGGTACTCTCTATTTCACTCCCTATCCCTCTATCTATACGGGTATCCATCCCCCCTTCACTCCCTATCCCTCTATCTATACGGGTATCCTCTATTTCACTCCCTATCCCTCTATCTATACAGGTATCCTCTATTTCACTCCCTATCCCCTCTATCTCTACAGGTATCCTCTATTTCACTCCCTATCCCCCTATCTCTACAGGTATCCTCTATTTCACTCCCTATCCCCCTATCCTCTACAGGTACTCCTCCCTCTATTTCACTCCCTATCCCTCTATCTCTACAGGTATCCTCTATTTCACTCCCTATCCCCCTATCTCTACAGGTATCCTCTATTTCACCTCCCTATCCCTCTATCTATACGGTAAGGTATCCTCTATTTCACTCCCTATCCCCCTATCTCTACAGGTACTCTCTATTTCACTCCCTATCCCCCCTATCTCTACAGGTATCCTCTATTTCACTCCCCCCATCCCTCTATCTCTACAGGAATCCTCTATTTCACTCCCTATCCCTCTATCTCTACAGGAATCCTCTATTTCACTCCCTATCCAAGACACTCAGTCAGCTCCGGAAACCAAGGTTATTTAAACTAAAAAAAAAACACTTTTTTTTAAATTCCTTTTCATTTTATTTGTACTGTATATACATTACTGTAATCCAACACAAAAAAAAAAATCATGGTAATTGAAAGTTGTGCCATATCTGAGAAACGTAAAAATTTTTTTTTTGAAATAGGGGTGACCTTTTTATGCTTCATAAATGAACCCTGTAGATTTTCAGAAAATAATAAAAGTACACAAGTAGTCATCTGACATGCAAGTGTAAATTCCATATCATTACAGCCATTGTGGGTGCCCAGGCTGCCTCTGACAGGCAAAGCTCTGATACGTTAAAGTGGTAGTAAACTACATCCAAAAAAACAATCCCTGCAAGGTAAAGGCATAATGTGCTAGTATGCATCACATACTAGCACATTATAAAAGGACTTGCCCTCAAAAACGAAGCCCTCCAACAGAGCGCTGTCACAGCTCCCAAGGGCTTCCATCTTCACCAGTCTTCCTTCCGGGTTCGCAAGCTCTGACTGGCCGAGCTGCGATGACGTCACTCCCATGCATGCACTCGGGAGTCCTTTGCCATGGCACAGTGTTCTGAAGGAACGGCATGGGTTCAAGTATCAAAAAGGGCTAATATAATATAATATAAACGTATTCATTTTGCCTACAGGTAAGCTGTATTATAAGCTTAGCTAAAGAACTGACCACGCTCTTCTCTCATGCCTAGTGTGATAAGTTTTATAATAGGAAAGCAGAAGGACTGGCAGGATCACCAGGGATTTTACACAAAGGAAGCAATACAAAGAGAACAGGTTAGTTTTTCATATAAACGCATACCAGTAATATAAAATGTTGGGGTAACACAGTCATAAACAGATAAAAAAAGTAGCTGATATCCCAGTTTGGCTGTAAAAGTGCAAATACACTTTAGGTAGCAAAACGCGTTCTTCGCACCCTACTATGGAGACTAATCACTACTTTGGTCAGTGTCCTTGGCCCAATAAGAGCGTATGGTATGCAGCCATATTGTCTGCTTTGCCTATAACAATGTCCAAAGAATTTGCCATGGCAGAGTGGCTGCTAGATAATGTATGTGCATCCAGGGCCGGTGCTTCCACTAGACAAACTAGGCAGCTTCCTAGGGCCACTGCCACCTAGGGGCACCTGAGCTCAGCACAGGCTGACACTCTCTCTGTGTGGGATGCCGCCTCATCATTTGATGGTCCTGTCATCTGAGAGAAGGGTCAGCAGAGAAGGAGGAAGGAAGGACAGAGGAAGATGCTGGGTGTCTGGGGCAAGTGTAGCAGCTGAGCTGCAGCTCCTTGCAGTGTTCCTCTCAGACTCAGTCCCTTACTGCAAGTTGGCTGGTGGTTGATGATCACTGTGGAGTTCCAGCCCTTCTCCCATTTATCAGCGGAGGCAGAGCTGCGCCTGCGGGAGGAAGGTAATGTCTGACTCCGATGTGTCTCATGTCTGTGTGAGTGTGACCCGGCCAGCCAGCCAGCCATCCATCACATCTGCAATATGTCAGTGAGTGATGACATCACCATTCCACAGCCTTCTTTGGGCCTACTGATCTGTGTCAGTGTTGGTGGTGTGATGTGTCAGATCTGTCACTGTGTGGGATCACTCAGTTCAGTTCCCGGCTGTCACAGCATTTCCCTGAACCCCCCCCCCCCCCCCCCATTGCCTGGGATCTATCAGAGTGTGGATCCATCATCCTCCACTCACTGCAACTGTCACCCTGCCACTGCCAGCCACAGATACAGTCCGTCCGGGACACTGATTTTGTCTTTAATATTGGTGCTGATGGCATCTTATGGCACTTATTTTTGCAAATCAAAAGAAATGTAGCAGTTTTATGTTGTGTTGATTTAATTTACAAGTTTTTAAATTTCTACTGTTTTTAAAATGTGTTATTTATTTATCTTTTCTATTTTTTCCCTGCGTGCATCTCGTGGTACATGGACATCATGCTTGCAACTTTTTTTTTGTGAAAGAATTAACTGAACTTTCTTCTGTTCCTCAGGGAGAACTAATGTGATTGTGGTGATCGATGATGTGGTGGACAGCAGTGATCAGGAGAAGACTCGGATCCTGAAGACTCAGCCCAGCATCGGGAGATTGGCTAAGGCTCTAATCCTCATCAATAAACAGGAGAAGACTGTGTGTAGAGATATTGATGACATGAAAGCATGCAGACTGTCCTGAGGAGTGGGGGACGCTAAAGAAATATTTTGGATGTTTATCTTTCCTAATACAATGAATTGAATTTAAATAATAATGCAGATACAGAGTTCTATACAAGAAATGTGTAATATTTTTAGAAAGTACTTAGGATGCACCACTACAGTTTTTTTCCCGGCAAGTATGAGAACTGATACTTTTGGTCAAGTACTCGCCGCTACAGAGAACCGATACCTTTGTAATGCGATTTGAGCCCATACAAAATGACTGCAAAGAATTGCATGCGACTTGAACAGGAATGGGGTTTCCCACACAGTGTGAAGCCAGGCTTGTCATAGTGACTTTGAGCTCATACAGAATCCTTGTGGGAAACCTCCCTGCATCGATCCTATGCTGTCACACAACAAAAAGTCTCTTCACAGGTCCTGGAATTTGAAATCCCAGCAGCTTTCTCTCCTCTCCTTGCAGGGTTGATTGTACGGGCTAGATGGCTTCTGATTGGTCAGCACCATCACATGTGCAAAGTGAATGGGAGAGACTTTATAATTATCAATCAGCTGCTGCACCTGCAGGGCTCAGTGGCAGGGTCTGCATCCCTTTAGACATGATTTCCCTTTGGGAGTATCTCACCAAAAAGGAAATTTTTGTTGCAGGGGATGTCCAACATCTGACTTCTGGGAAATCAGTGAGCCAATCACATAAGCAGGAAAGTACATCTCTGGGGGGCGCTCTATACACCATCTGCATACAGAACGCCTCCAGGCGGCCATATTGCATTTTACCGAAATTACAACGGTTACAGATTGAAAAGGAAAAGTCATTTTTAGCAACGTTCAGTTACAATATGACTTGTGTTGCAATTGTGTATGCTAGATTATTATTATAATTTTTTTTTTGTGCTATTTGTTTCCCCATGAAAGTGGAGTTACCCTTTAACTATTGTTTATTTCTATCAAAAATAATAAAAGTGGCTTTAATTATGATGTGATGCTACTGTTTACACAATCAGGCCTCATTGTTCTGGGCTTCGTTTCCAGAAAATGCTTTATAATGTTTCATAATTGATATTGGAGTATATTAGTTAAAAATGTACAAAGGCCATAAAAGGCCCCCGGTCACACTGGGTGCGACTTGGCATGTGATTTGCATGACATGCGACTTGTAAATCGCATGCTAAGTCACACCCTGTTGTCCACAATTACAGTGATCATATCGGTGCGGTCCCGACTTGGTTGGAGCCGCACTGATTTCTAAAGTACTATATGCACTACTTTCAGTGCAATTTGCATAGACATCTGTGTCAGAAGTCTTGCAAATTGCACCTGAAATCGGGGGGTCCCCTGACTTTGAAATCGTGTGACTTTGCTGTAACTTGTGCAATTTCAAACTCAGGCTTGATGTGACCAGGGGGTAAAGAAGTCTCGATTTTTTTTTTTTTTTTTTTTTTTTTTAGCTCAAACACACCACACATAAAGGATGATTATACTGCAGTCCTACCTCTCTCAGATATAATCCTGATAAATCCTGATACAAATATCTCGGTATCAGTATCTCACATCTATATTTAATCTGCAACTACATTTACACAGCTGCCCTTTAGTGTCACAGAAGGTAACGTTTTTTTCTGAACCCACAAAACATGTCAATTTGCCTTTATGAACATATAGTGTTACTAAACCCACAACAGTACAATCAGTCTGTAGATGCAGTAAATCATGCTTGTTATACTCACTGTGGAACCTAAGGGGTTAATCCTCTGCATTGTGTAAAAAGGATGTTTGATCCTGACTTCTCTGATCCTCCACTTGTTGAAATGTCCACCTGATAAGAAAGACTGAACCTGTAGCACTTCTGCACATGCCCAGTTTACTGTGTATTGCTAGAGATGTTATTTTTTTTGGGGGGGAAGTACTTGTGATCAGCATAGGGCCAATCAGCACTGTCCACACAGAGGTCAGGGTCCTGCATCCTCCTAGGGTAGAATGAAAACGCCTCCTACAACCTTTAACCAGTGTTCTGCTGGACACTGATAGAAGTCATAAGACTGCTATGTAGTGCTGATGAGAAAAGGGATTTAGCAGTTTATATGTGCTAAAATAATTTCATTTCCATGTTGTGTGTATTGTGGGAGACCAGATATAGTGAATGCAGGGTCCGGGGAGAGCGGATATAGGGAATGCGGGGTCTGGGGAGAGCGGATATAGTGAATGCGGGGTCCGGGGAGACCAGATATAGTGAATGCGGGGTCCAGGGAGAGTGGATGTGGTGAATGCGGGGTCCGGGAGACTGGATATAGTGAATGCGGGGTCCGGGGAGAGCGGATATAGTGAATGCGGGGTCCGGGGAGAGCGGATATAGTGAATGCAGGGTCCGGGGAGAGCAGATATAGTGAATGCAGTGTCCAGGGAGAGCGGATATAGTGAATGCAGGGTCCGGGGAGAGCGGATATAGTGAATGCAGGGTCCGGGGAGAGCGGATATAGTGAATGCAGTGTCCAGGGAGAGCGGATATAGTGAATGCAGGGTCCGGGGAGAGCGGATATAGTGAATGCGGGGTCTGGGGAGAGCGGATATAGTGAATGCAGGGTCCGGGGAGAGTGGATATAGTGAATGCGGGGTCCGGGGAGACCAGATATATGAAAAATGAACAAGTCAAAAATGCATTAAAAACACACGTGCAGAAACGCATTCAGAACACATCTGGACTGCATTTCTATGGTGTGAACCGGCCCATAAACTGGTGGAAAAGCCTTCCTTTTTGTATTCCAAATCTTTATATTTTAACATGCTTATTACAAGAGAAATATGGAGTTTACAAAGAAATCAATGCTATTTTGCATCTGTGGGGCAGAGCAGTCACCACTCTGCTCAGAGTGGAGGGGAGAACTGAGCAATCAGCGGTCTTTGATCGCTCAGTTCTCAGTGCAGAGGTGGCGGGGGGACAGATCAGATCGATGCTCCATCCACCTAGGTGAGTATAAGGTTTTTTGTTTTTTTTTGTAAACCTCATGCTTCTTTTTTAAATGTGTATTTCTACTTTGGCAGCCAAACTGGGAAAAAAATCTACCTTACATTTTTTCTACATGTTCCCATTCACTTAGCATAACTTAAAAAAAAAATTACAATTGTCGGTTACCATTTTGAGATGTTTTGTTCTTGAAATTCCAGCACTGTAAAATACTAAGTTCTCTTTTTTATTATTAGGCTGGGCGGCTGGGTTTGCCACAATTAACCCTGTCTGTACAGTGCTGGCAGATCTCCTTATCAGGTGTGAACTAAATTTGAAAATGGTCTGTCCTAACAAAAGATTAAAGATTTAGAAGCTTTTCCATTGTATGGTAATAAAAGACTTAGCCAGTGTTTTAGTACCAGGCCTGGACTGGCCATAGGGCACACCGATCATTTGCCTGGTGGGCCAGGGTCACCTGGATAGGAGAAGCAGCCGGGCAGCACATAGAGGAACCGGGCCGTGGATTTTTTCGGTTCCTTATGTTCCGTCCGACCGCCTCTCCTTTCAAACTCCTGCTTGTGGTCGGCTCCTGTATGCTCCCCCCGCAGCTGCCCCCCTCCCCTCATCTCCAGTGCTGCAGGGGATCTGTCAGCATATTCCATCCCTAGTGCTAACAGCTCCCCCCCCCCCCACAGAGATGGGAGAGGAGAGAGAAAGCTGCCCCTCCTTTTCCCATCCTCTCCTCCTCTCCTCCTGTGTCTGCCCCACCCACACTCCCTGCCTTTCTTTCTCTCTTCCAAAAATGTAAAAAAGTTAAATATAAAATTGTAAAAAAATTAAATAAAAAAACTACTGACACAAGTGGCTGAACTACCAGGGTTTCAAAAGGTTGCTCTTGCGACCAGGCCCTGCCATTCTGTCACTAGGCTCTGAGGAAAGGGTCCCTGGGCTTTGGGCTGCTCAGTCCAAAGTTCCCAGGCCTATTTTTTGTCCTGCTTAGGACAGACTCATTCTGACATTGTTCAAAAATACTTGAAGTCAGCCATGAGGCCTTCTCCTGGGAAACATCTAGAAGGGAAGAATTAATTGTATTCCTTTTTTTATTTCAGATATGCTGTGTGAATAGGAACAAACATTTAGTGGGTGTTTCTCAAATTTGAGAAAAGTGCAAAACAGTGTGAGGAATTAATAAAACCTTGTCAGGATCTTTTTCTTCTTTGTCCTTTGGGGATTTCTTTCTCCATTTCCTGTCTAAAGATGAGCTTCAGGTTCGGGATGAACTCATGCCTGTTTTCAGTTTGGTGAACAAACTAGCCACATTTGGTAGTTTGCCCACCTACCCAGGGCCGGTACTAGACTTTTTTGCACCCTAGGCAAGACCAGCTACTTGCGCCCCCCCAAAAAAGCCAAAAAAAATTTAAAAACAGAAAATATTAGTGATATTAAACCGTGAAACTGCTATATTTCTTTTATTTGCAAAAATAAGTACCATAAGATGCTACCACCACCAATATTAAAGACAAAATATAGATTAACCAAATATAAATTAACTGCCAGCCAGCTTACAGTAAGGGACTGCGTCTGAGAGGAACACTGGAAGGGGCGGCAGCTCAGCTGCTACACTGGCCCCAGACACCTGGCATCTTCCTTTGTCCATTTTTCCTCTCATCTGCCACCCCTCCCCTCAGATGAAGGATCATTCATGATGTGGCGATATCCCGCATGATCAATCAGCATCCACTCCCCTCGCCTCGACCATTGTCCACCCCCTCCTCCTCCTCTCATCTTCATGACTAGCCATCCTCCTAGGCTTGGTTCACCTCTGGTGGCTCCTGCCAGGTTGCGGAGTCCAGGCTGCAGCTCTTAGTGGGGACAGGCAGCCTCCCAGCACTACACCACCCCGCCTATTGATTGACTCCAGCTGTGTAGAAGGTGGAGCCAGCACTGGGCACGCCCCATTTTGTCACTAGCTGTTACAGTTGGAAGATCGTGTGTGCCATTGTGTGTACCGGAGATGTACCGATCAATCTACTGATCAGAGACGGCTGAACACCTGGGCTAATGTCATCACTTCCCATTCCAGGGGTGCCAACACTTCACTGCTACATAGAATACTGTCATATATACAGTTGTGTTCAAAATAATAGCAGTCAGACATCACTAACCGGATCAATCACTGTTTTTGGTAGAAATTATATTTCTTCATGGCAAATAATTTCCTAGCAGATGTAGTAGAGTCATAGAAATCCAACAGACCCAACAGTTATGACATGCATGCTGCTGATTCTGTGTCATTGAATCACTCATTGAAAGGGGCGTGTTCACAATAATAGCAGTGTGGAGTTCTATTAGTGAGGTCATTCATTCTTTGAAAAACAGGTGGCAATTATTGCCCTTATTTAAGGAAGGAAGGCAGCAAATGTTGTACATGCTGGTTACAGTGCATTTCTCTCTGAAATTCTGAGGAAAATGGGTCGTTCCAGACATTGTTCAGAAGAACAGCGTACCTTGATTAAAAAGTTGATTGGAGAAGGGAAAACATATAAAGAAGTGCAGAAAAAATGATCGGCTGCTCAGCTAAAATGATCGCAAATGCTTTAAAATGGCAACCAAATCCTGAAAGACGTTGAAGAAAGGGAAAAACTACCATTGGGATGGATAGAAGAATAGCCAAAATGGCGCGGACTCAGCCAACAATCAGCTCCAGGAAGATGAAAGAAGGTGTGACGTTCCCTGTGAGGACTGTTACAATTAGAAGCCAAGCTATCTGCAAGAAGTCCCTGCAAAGTCCCACTGTTGGGAAAAAGACATGTGCTGAAGAGGTTACAATCTGCCAAAGAGCACATTGACTGGCCTAAAGAGAAATGGCGCAACATTTTGTGGACTGATGAAAGTAAGATTGTTCTTTTTGGGTCTAGTGGGCGGAGACAGTTTTGTCAGACGACCCCCAAACACTGAATTCAAGCCACAGTACACTGTGAAGACCGGGAAGCATGGTGGTGCAAGCATCATGATATGGGGATGTTTCTCATACTACGGTGTTGGGCCTATTTATCGCATACCAGGGATCATGGATCAGTTTGAATACATCAGAATACTTGAAGAGGTCATGCTGCCTTATGCTGAAGAGGAAATGCCCTTGAAATGGGTGTTCCAACAAGACAACGACCCCAAACACACCAGTAAAGGTGCAACATCTTGGTTCCAGACCAACAAGATGGACGTTATGGAGTGGCCATCCCAATCCCCGGATCTTAATCCAATAGAAAACTTGTGGGGTGACATCAAAAATGCCGTTTCTGAGGCAAAACCAAGAAATAGAGAAGAACTGTGGAATGTGGTCCAATCATCCTGGGCTGGAATACCTGATCACAGGGGCCAGAAGTTGGGTGACTCCATGCAACACAGATGTACAGCAGTTCTCAGAAACAGTGCGACTACAACCAAATATTCATGAAGTCATTCAAAGGAAAGCAAAATCTTCAAACATTTCTCAGTTTATATAGTGAATGTTTGAGTTTGTAAAGAAGAATACAAACACTGCGATTTTTTTGAACCGTCTAATATTCACTTTTCTTCCATTTTTTTAGAGGAACAACACAATTATGTATTTTTCTTCATGTTTTGATTTGGAATAGAATGTGTCGTGTTCTCAATGCATTTGTGTGGATGGAAATAAAAGCTATTAGAAGGATTTTCAGCTTTTCACTTTTTTCAACACACTGCTATTATTTTGAACACAACTGTATATACACACGGCTCAAAAAAATGACAGGAACACTTTGAAAACCCATCAGATCTCAATGGGGAGAAATCTTCTGCTGGATCTCTATACTGACATGGACGGGGTAATGTGTGAGGAACGTAAGGACGCCCCATCGTTTGTTGGAAATGAAAATGATCAACTTACAGAGGACTGAATTCAAAGACAACCCGAAAATCAAAGTGAAAAAAGTATGCAGCAGGCGAGTCCATTTTGCTGAAATGTCATTGCAGCAACTCAGAATGGTCCTCAGTAGTTTGTATGGCCCCCACGTGCATGCTTGTATACATGCCTGACAACATCAGGGCATGCTCCTAATGAGACCACGGATGGTGTACTGGGGTATTTCCTCCCAGATGTGGACCAGGACATCACTGAGCTCCTGGACAGTCTGAGGTGCAACCTGGTGAATGGACCGAAACATGACATCCCAGAGGTGTTCTATTGCATTAAGGTCAGGTGAGCGTGGGGGCCATTCAATGGTATCAGTTCCTTCATCCTCCAGGAACTGCCTGCATACTCTCTCCACATGAGGCCAGACATTGTCGTGCACCAGGAGGAATCCAGGACCCACTGCACCAGCGGAGCGTCTGACAATGGGTCCAAGTATTTCATCTCGATACCTGATGGCAGTCAGGGTGTCATTGTCTAGCCTGTAGAGATCTGTGCGTCCCTCCATGGATATGCATCCCCAGACCATCACTGACCCACCTCCAAAATGGTCATGCTGAACCATGTTACAGGCAGCAGAACATTCTCCATGGCTTCTCCAGACCCTTTCATGTCTGTCACATGTGCTCAGGGGGAACCTGCTCTCATCTGTTAAAAGCACAGGGTGCCAGTGGTGGACCTGCCAATTCTGGTGTTCAATGG